GGAGGTCAAAATCTCAGAGGGGACGGTTTTCATCATTGCAGCAGACGGAGGGGTGGGGTGAGGGCGGTGAATGTAAGAGAGTTTGAAGAAAAATGAAGAATAAAAGGAGATGGAGACAAACCAGGCCCCTGATTGGTGCAGACGGGCCCCGCCCACTACACAATAGCCAATCAGGAACTTCTGTTTAGTTTGAAAGATGCCAAGAAACCTGAGGAGTAAGATGATAAAAACCACAAGGATGGAACAATGATGTCATACACTGGCCAGCAGGGGGCGCTGCTCTCAGTGCCGTTGCAAAAAACTAAAAAGGAAACAAGAAAAACACAAACAAAACCTTCACCCGAGTCCGTCCAGTCCACGTGACTGTTCTGACCTGGAGGACCGGCGACAGTCTCAGACATGTACAAGGATATTTTCAAGGATGTTCCAGCACCACGTCATGAAAAGAAACCCAGAATCAGAGTCGTGTTACTGGGACTGTTGGGCTTCAGAACCAGGTGAACACAGGAACAAAGAACGGTTTAAACACGGCTGGAGTTCATGTGCTGATGTTTATTAGCTCCATCCAAGGTTTTGTGGCTGGAGCTCGGCTAACGGCTAACAGCTACCTCCAGTCGACGGGTGACGTCGTGTGTTGATACCGACCGTTAACATCGGGACTTCGATCGATAAAATATCTGTCACGATAATCAATAAAACTCCTAATATAAAAGACAACTCGTTATTTTCCCTCAACACCTTCCAGTGTCCGTCCTCGTCTGCCCCTTCCTAGAACCGGACTGACCCGGATGATGACGCGCCACTGAGTCGCGCATCAGTGACGTAAGAGCGCCACAAATAAAAGTACCGAAACATTAGTACAGTTTTACAGAAATATTTCACTAAAATAACAACATAATCTTTTATAAGCTGTTGGAATAATAATGACGTTACAATCGATCAGAAAATAGACATAACATGTCTTTTATTAATGTGTAATTATCGTCATTTAATGTAAACGAACGACATTGTAGCGAAAACATATAAAAATAAAGGTCAGACGAACCCGAACTCAGTTACTGTTATTATAACTAATGCTAAAGATGTTTTTTTACAAATACGAGAAAAAACGTAGATTATTTTTCATTTATATTGATCGATCAGAATCTTTAAACGTATTTATATTCAGAATTTTAAATTATTCAATAAATGAAAACAAATACAAAGATGTAGCGCAGTGGCAGTTACGTTGGTCTGACAATGACGACAGGCAGACCATTGATGACGTCACAGACCCCTCGGCCGTGCTGATTGGCATTCGCTCTCAGTTCCGACTGAGGAAATGACTCCTTTTATAGATGAACGCGGCGCCGCGCTGCGCGCTTCCGCATTCACACATAGAAACAGTCAGTCAACCGAAAACGAAGGAGGGGGGGGGCAGCCTCGGCACAGACACCTGGAGCGGGGACAGAGCAGCGGTACCGATCACCGGAAACCGATCAGTGAAGGTGAGTGGGGATTTCGGGGGTTTGGGAGGGGGGGGGGGGGGGCGGGGGGTTGGGGGGGGGGGGGGGGGGAGGGCTGAATAATGTTGTTGTTGAAGTTGTGGTGCTGGGGTTCAGGGTTGTGGGTGGATCCGTGTCTCAGATCAGAACGTGTCAGGTCCTGTTTCCACTCTGTACACTGAAGCCACTTCACTTCCTGATCCCAGATCAGAGCTCACACCACAGGCCAAAGGTCATGGTCCAGGACTCTCTCTGACACCATGTGATCAGGGGTCAGAGGTCAGAGGGTGTAGTAGTAGTTTGAAGTATAAAGTACTACAGGTGGAGAAATAACAACAGGATAGAAATCAGTGCTAAATGATAATATACAGTGAAAGGTCAGGTGAAAGGTCAGGTGAAAGGTCAGGTGACACGTCAGGTGACGTCTACATCATTCTATTCTTTAATAATCCAACACAACCACAGTCCCAGTTAGGACACATCAGCTGTCCTGTAGTTCGTCTTCATCACCAGTAGGTGGCGGTTAGACACATGTTCAGAGATTTCTTTTCTATTTGTTCACAATAAAACACAACAGGTGAAAACAGGTGTGAATCCAGCTGGAGTGTAAGAAAGTGTTCTGACGGACACAGAGGACGGACACAGAGGACGGACACAGAGGACGGACACAGAGGACACTTCTTCTTCTTTTTCACTTCCTGTCTTTTAAATTTAGATCCAACTTTCAGTGACATCACTTCCTGTTTTCTGGCTACAGATGATTTTTTTCACTTTGATGATCTTTAGTTGAGTCACATTAAAACTAAAAATATCCACCAATGACGTCACACCATGACGTCACACATGACATCACTAAAAGAAAACAAACAGTGAAAACTCCTGTTCATTTCATTAGTTCATTTCATTAACCGAGTCGACCTGATGTCCCAGCAGCAGCAGCAGCAGTAACAGCAGCAGCAGCAGGATGGGGAACCTGCTCAAAGTTCTGACCAAAGACATCGACAACAATGGAGGAAACTTTTTCCTGGACTTTGAAAGTATGAACAACACACAGACGGCCTCCAGCAGAGGTCAGTGTTTGAACTCTGACCTCTGACCTCTCCTTTGCAGATGCTCAACCTTCGCCCTCAGAAACAGAGGTGTGGGAGAGCGTGAACCAGGTTCTGACAGAGGCCCGAGAAGTTCTGGACGAGTTGCAGGCGTACACTGGAGCAGGAGAGGACATTCGACAGGTAGTAAGAACAGAACTGACCACAAGGGGGCATCAGTTGACCAGCAGCTTTGTTGTAGCTGCTGTAGAAATGTCTGGTGTGTGTATGTGTGTGTGTGTGTGTGTGTTCAGGCCATCCAGAGTCCAGGGGTGGAGCGTGTTCAGGAGAAGGCGTGGTCAGCTGTCGTCCCCCTCGTCTCTAAACTCAAAACCTTTTACGAATTTTCTGTGAAGCTCGGTGAGAACCTGAACACATCACATTAGTGTGTGATGTACCTGTCAGTCAAACAGCCACACCCACACCAAACCTCATAGAGAAAATCAGTGATTTTAGCTCAGACCAAAGTCCATATGAAAAGTCATCAGCTCCAGTCTGGTGTCACAGACCGGTCACAGCACAGACACACTTACAAACTCACGTGCACACACAGAGTCCAGTCTGCGCTGCCTCCTGGTGGTCCTCACCTGCTCCAGCAGCAGTTCAAGTCCCACTCAGCAGCTGGAGCAGAAACAGGCGCTGGCCCGACAGTTCGCTCACATCCTGCACTTCACGCTACGATTCGACGAGCTCAAGTTCAGTGAGCGGGAAACACACACCTCACACACACACACACACACCTCACTGCGTCCACCACCTATGGACTCAAAGTCCCAGCATGCATCTGCTGCTCCTGCCATCTGTTTCAGATGACCAACCCTGCCATTCAGAATGACTTCAGTTACTACAGACGCACCATCAGCCGCATGAAGATCAACAAGCTGAATGTGAGTCACACACACACACACACACACACACCGTCCCACTGTGGCTCTTGAACCTCACTGCACTGACTACACTTCCTGTGTCTTGACAATGCTGTGCTGCTGCCGTGTTTCAGGCGACTGAAGCGGGTGATGTAAATAATGAGTTGGCCAATCGGATGTCTTTGTTTTATGCCTGTGCCACGCCCATGCTGAAGACGCTAAGTGATGCGACATCAAAGTTTGTGTCAGATGTGAGTCCTTCATCCTGGATCTGAAACGATCTCATCTTTATTAGCATATATCTCGGCTACGCTAAGCTAAGCTTTTCCTCAGAACCCGGAGCTTCCTGTTGAAAACACCACCGACTGCCTCAGCACCATGGCCAGCGTCTGTAAGGTGATGCTGGAAACACCGTGAGTCTGACACCCCCCACCACACCCCCCAAAAAAAAAAAAACTAAGAACCACTGAACTACAGCCTTCAACACCTGTCTGTGTGTGTGTGTGTGTGTGTACCTGTGTTCTTTCAGGGAGTACCGCAGTCGTTTCCATAGCGATGAAACCGTCCTGTTTTGTCTGCGTGTGATGGTCGGCGTCATCATCCTCTACGATCACGTTCATCCAGCGGGAGCCTTTGTCAAGACATCCAACATAGACGTGAGTACGAACACTGCAGCTGTCAATCACAAGTGTCATCCACCAACACCAACAGAGCTACAGTCGCCCCCTGTTGGCTCAGATCTCTAATACAGTCTGTGTTTGTAGATGAAGGGCTGCATCAGAGTTCTGAAGGAGCAGCCGGCGAGCAGCGTGGAGGGATTACTCAACGCACTCAGGTCTGTCCCAGGTTTTTACTCATCCAACACAAGGAGTCCAACTGTTAACTGTCATTTATACTGCCCCCTGCAGGTACACCACCAAACATCTAAACGATGAAACCACCTCCAAGCAAATCAAAAATATGTTACTGTCCAATTAACCACCCCCCCAAACCCCCCCGACATCAGGAGACGTACAGATGAGCCGACGACTGAACAAAGACTTAAGCTAACGCTTCCTTACGTCTTCAGTTTTACGTTTCTTAACTGTCAGTTGTGAAATAATGTTGGTTAAAAAAATGACTGAAAATAACAATTGTTGTTTTAATTGTTGAGTTAAAGTCACTCTTCCAAACCAGAGTTCATGGTGTGGGAGGCTGATAGGGTGATGGTAGAGGCGTGTAGCTAATAAAAAAATCTCTCGCTGTGTTTCAGCTTTTTAACCTTTTCTCAGGTGATTTTGTTTTTTACTTTTTCTTTTTTAACATTTATGTGTTAGTGCTGGAACCACTGATATGGACTTGGAACGAATGGACACGGTGACAGTGAACTGTTATCAATGACATTTATTAAATGTGTTGTGTTTAATAAAGAGCCAAAAATCTACTCAACAAAACTGTCATTAACTCAACGAGTTAGGTTTCAATAAAAATTGAATTAATGTCAGTTTTTACCTCACAACTAGAGGGCAGACTCCTGCACTCGTGTTCTGATATATAATCTGATTTTATTTCGTTTTAAAACCAACTTTGTAACTTGGTTGTTGAGTTGAAAATAAATATTTTTAAATAAAAGTACTTTCTTCTCATTCAATTCTGATAAAAGTTCCATTTTTAACAAAGTAACCTTTAAAGAATGTACTCGGTCAACACTGGTGCTGAAATGAAGTTTGTCCGAGTGGAGTTGCCGTTTTCTTACTGTCCAAGATGGCGCCCAACTGGTGCATGCGCAAATGGCAGCGACGCAGATCGGGCAGGCGACGCAGACCGGGCAGTGAGATCAGCCCTGACTTAGCACTCTACGCCCACCTGACACAGGCTGAGCGATGCATCCTGGGAACCGCAGTTCATCGTCCGCAGCCCTGCTGGAAGGTAGAAGATAAAAACAACACAAAACAAAATGGTTTCCGGTCGAGACTTTCACCAGAGAACGACGTTCTAAAGACACAGGCGGAAAACCCGTTTGTTCTGTGAAAGCTGAAGGAAAACGTGAACGCGAAGACGCAGTAGAACTACAACTCCCACGTCACCTACGTCACAACGTCACCAAAGGAGTGGAAAAAAGCGCAGCCGCTTCCGTGTTGTTCTCCTCGTCTTATTTTGGTCCAGAGAAAACGGCTCCGGCGTCGGTAGAATCTGAGCGTCATGGTTGTTGTGTAAACGGAGCTGTGTCTTCTCCTTCTCCTTCTCCTTCTCCTTCCTTCCTCCTCCACGATGTCGCTGCTCCACAGTTCCAGGAAAAAGGACAAGCGCGTCCTGTGCGGAACCTGCCCGGACCCCAAATGTCAGGCTCGGCTCTTCTTCCCCGCTCACGGCTCCGTCAGTATCGAATGCACAGAGTGCGGCCAGAGACACGAACAGCGGAACCTGCTGCAGGTCCAGGAGGTGACGGACCCGGACGTGGTTCTGCACAACCTGCTTCGGAACGCGCTGCTCGGCGTCACCGGGGCCCCGAAGAAGGGAACCGAGCTGGTGAAGGTGATGGGTCTGTCCAACTACCACTGCAAGCTGCTGTCACCGGTGCTGAGCAGGTAACACACCGACACACCGTGAACAAATCCACACCAGTTAAACAGCCGAGATCGCGCAAGGATATAAAATGTTTGGACTTCCCCTCTTCAAATTAGTCACATTTTGTATCCACTTCACACTCTAAGATGTATGCTAACATATTAGCACGCAGTACATGTTGTATGCTAACTTTTGGACAAATTCTATTTTGAAAGTAAACCACATACATTTAGTTTAGGTATCATTTGTTATGTGTTTTTCTTTGGCTAAATAGTAGCTAATTATGTTACTTGTTTGTTTTTGTTTTTTTGCTAATCTTTTTTAGCACACTTGTTTTCAAGCTGCTTCCAGAACAACATTTAGCTCTTCTGGCTGTCTTGTTTGAATTTTAGCAAATTTACTTTTTTTCTATTTTTAAAACATAAAATCTTCAAACATAAGTTGTACATAACTCATTAGAACACATTTTTTCCACCCATTCGAATGAAACGTAATCATAGTCTGGTGTATTACAGGAAGAGCAGTTGATATTTTTCAATTATCAAATCTGGCTTCTGCTGTTCAACATGTCCACATCCCAGAATTGATAAACCATGAAATTGGAACTTTTAATTAAATTAAAGGTAAAATAAAAATGAATCCCTTAATACTAAATACCTAAACCAGAGAGAAGAGAGGAAATAAGATGGCAAGAAGAACATTATTTTTTCTTCTTCTTTTTTTTTTTTTGTGGTCATACTGTATTTTGTCCAAGTTTAAATTGTTTTTGGCCATACAGTGCTATAACTATTACAGCCAGGGTGAATGAAAATAACGGCATTATGGACATTATTACATTGTCTGGTGTTTAGAGAGGACGGTAAAGTTTGGTGAATATGACATAAATGTGAGACGCACATGCGTGTGTTTGATCGTCTGCCCTGAGCCTTTTTGGTTCTTCGGCGTTACGTGTCCTGAAACCTCCACTCTCCTTCTCCTTCTCCTTCTCCTTCTTCTTCTCCTTCTCCTTCTCCTTCTCCTTCCTTCCTCCTCCACGATGTCGCTGCTCCACAGTTCCAGGAAAAAGGACAAGCGCGTCCTGTGCGGAACCTGCCCGGACCCCAAATGTCAGGCTCGGCTCTTCTTCCCCGCTCACGGCTCCGTCAGTATCGAATGCACAGAGTGCGGCCAGAGACACGAACAGCGGAACCTGCTGCAGGTCCAGGAGGTGACGGACCCGGACGTGGTTCTGCACAACCTGCTTCGGAACGCGCTGCTCGGCGTCACCGGGGCCCCGAAGAAGGGAACCGAGCTGGTGAAGGTGATGGGTCTGTCCAACTACCACTGCAAGCTGCTGTCACCGGTGCTGAGCAGGTAACACACCGACACACACACACACCGACACACCGTGAACAAATCCACACCAGTTAAACAGCCGAGATCGAACTTTTAGTAAAAGTCCAGCCCGGGTGACCGCGGAGCCACAGCTCCAGTGTCTCGTAAACACGTCTGATGAACAGCGGACAGTTGTCCTCCTCCACCCAACACCACCTGTTTGTGGTGGGCGTAATGTGTTGAAGAGTTAGCCGCAGTGGCGCCCCCTGGAGGAGTGGGAGTCCGATCCTGAAGCTCGTTAGAGGATAGTCTCTAGGAGTGTATGTTGGTATGAGTGGACGTGTTCTCTGACCCCACGTGTTCTCTGACCCCTGATTCATGACCCCCCCCCCCCCCCCCCCCCCCCACCGTGGGAACCTTGTCTGTTTTGTTGCCCACAGATATGGGATGGACAAACAAACGGGGAAGGCCAAGCTGCTGAAGGACATGAACCAAGGTGAGATGTTCGACTGCTCTCTGCTGGGAGACAGGGCCTTCCTGATCGAGCCGGACCACGTGTCCACCATGGGCTACGGCAAAGACCGCTCCGGAAGCCTGGTCTACCTCCACGACACGCTGGAGGAAGTCAAAAAAGCCAATGGCAACAGAGAGTGTCTCATCCCCGTCCACGTGGATGGAGACGGCCACTGCCTGGTCCACGCCGTCTCCAGAGCGCTGGTGGGCAGAGAGCTGTTCTGGCACGCCCTGAGGGAGAACCTGAAGCAGAATTTCAAGCAGAACCTGAGCCACTACAAAGCTTTGTTCCAGGACTTCATCGACTCTGCGGAGTGGGAGGACATCATCAACGAGTGCGACCCCCTCTTTGTGCCACCTGAGGGCGTGCCGCTCGGACTGCGCAACATCCACATATTTGGTCTTGCCAACGTCCTGCACCGGCCAATCATCCTGCTTGACTCGTTGAGTGGAATGAGGAGTTCCGGCGACTACTCCGCCACCTTCCTGCCCGGCCTGGTGGCCGAGGAGCAGTGTCGGGGCAAGGACGGGAAGCTGAACAAACCGATCTGCATCGCCTGGAGCAGCTCCGGCAGGAACCACTACATACCCCTGGTGGGGATAAAGAACACCATGCTGCCCAAGCTGCCCGCACGCCTGCTGCCCAAGGCGTGGGGCGTTCCACAGGAACTCATCAAGAAGTACATCAAACTGGAGCAGGACGGGAGCTGCGTGATCGGGGGCGACCGCAGCCTGCAGGACAAGTACCTGATGAGACTGGTCAACGCCATGGAGGAGGTGTTCATGGAAAAACACGGCATCCACCCGTCACTTGTGGCCGACGTGCATCAGTACGTCTACAGGAGAACCGGTGTGATCGGCATCCAGCCGGAGGAGGTGATCGAGGCGGCCAAGAGGTCGGTGATTGAGAACCGGCTGCACCGCTGCCTCATTTGTGGCGCCCTGTCGGAGCTGCATGTCCTGCAGGAGTGGCTGGTTCCTGGGGGGAAGCTCTACAACTTAGCCAAGTCCACGCACGGCCAGCTGCGTCCGGACAAGAACTACAGCTTCCCACTCAACAACGTGGTCTGCTCTTACGACCCCAACAAGGACGTGCTGGTGCCGGACTACAAACTCAGTTCCTTCAACACCTGCAACTGGTGCCACGGCACATCGGTCCGACACGTACGTGGCGACGGCTCGGTAGTGTACGTCGACGGGGACAGAACCAACGCCCACTCCCAAGGGGGTAAATGTGGGTGTGGCTTCAAACATTACTGGGATGAAAAGGAATACGACAACCTCCCTGAAGCCTTCCCCATCACCCTGGAGTGGGGCGGCCGCGTGGTCCGGGAGACGGTGTACTGGTTCCAGTACGAGACCGACTCTGCGCTGAACAGTAACGTCTACGACGTGGCCATGAAGCTGGTCACCAAACACTTCCCCGGGGAGTTTGGCAGTGAAATCCTGGTCCAGAAGGTGGTGAACACTATTCTGCACCACACCGCCAAGAGGAACCCCGACGAGTACAACCCGGTGTCCATCGACGGCGCTCACGTCCAGCGTCTGAAGGATGCCGAAGAGGTTCGACCGGCAGCGGCGGAGCCTCAGCCTCCGACCAAAATAATCCTGACGGGTCAGAAAGCAAAAACGCTCCACAAGGAGGAGCTGACGATGAGTCGGGCGGAGCGCAGCCTCCAGCAGAGCATCAGCGAACAAGCCTCCGTCGCCCAGAAACGACGGACCGATCAGCTGAAGCAGGAGCAAAGAGGCCACTGTCGAACCAAGTCTTCCTCGTCTCCGCCCAGCGGCTCGCCGGCGACGTCCTCCTCCTCTGCTCCGGCCACACCCACCAAGTCCGCTTCATCCTCTCCTTCCTCCGTATCCAACAAGGAGAAGAAGATTCGCGTGACGACCAGCGATGGCAGGCAGGCCATGCTGACGCTGCAGCCTCAGACCACCTTCTCAGAACTCCAGCGGAGCGTAGCCAACCAGTTTGGCGTGCCAGCAGCGAGGCAGTGCATACGATATGGCTTCCCACCCAAAGAACTGGCCCCACCCAGGGACGGCGAGGAAAACGAGCCCTTGGTGCTGCAGCATGGTGACAGGGTTACGGTGGAGATACTGAAGGGCCCCGAGGGCCGTGGCCCCGGCCCCGCCTCCGTCCCCAGAGCCTCCAGTTCAAACCCTATCCTGGACCCAGTGAACAATGAGGACAATAGGACGTCCAGCAGGATGAGCAGCCGTGAACTGCAGGACAACATCGACCTGGAGATGTCCTCGCTCTGCCTTCTGGCAACACTGATGGGTACGATCATGTGACTGTCATGTGACTTCTCTGTTTTTAGGCCTTTCAAGCAGAATAAAGTCAAGACAATTTAGAATCTAATTAGGACTTGACTGAGGCTGCAGCCATCTTAGATCAGAGACCAAACACCAATCAGAGATTTTAGTTCAGACCAAAGTCCATGGAGAAAATCAGAGATTTTAGTTCAGACCAAAGTCCATGGAGAAAATCAGAGATTTTAGTTCAGACCAAAGTCCATGGAGAAAATCAGAGATTTTAGTTCAGACCAAAGTCCATGGAGAAAATCAGAGATTTTAGTTCAGACCAAAGTCCATGGAGAAAATCAGAGATTTTAGTTCAGACCAGTGAAGTCCAGCAGGTGTCAGTGGCGGGTCCGTTGTTTTTGTTACCTGTAACTGACTCCTGGCCTTTATTGCCGTTACTTCTCTCTCCTCAGGTGAAGATGTGTGGTCTTACGCTAAGAAGCTTCCACAGTTATTCCAACAGGGCGGCGTCTTCTACAACATCGTGAAGAAGGACATGGGTGAGTTTTTTCAGGTATCTTCTGATTGGCCAGCGCTCTTCATGGGTGAAGACAGCGCGTGTCCTTTTGTACTGACCGTCTTTTTTTTTGCTCAGGTCTGAATGATGGTAAACACTGCACTTTGCCTCATCTGACGGGGAAGACGTTTGTCTTTAATGAAGCTGAGCAGCGTTTGGAGCTGTGTGTGGACGCTGCTGGACACTTCCCCGTCAGTCCTGATGTAGAGGAGCTGGTGAGGGAGGCCGTGGTGCAGCTGCGCACAGAACCGGCGGCCACCAGAGGCAGCAGAGAGTCCAGCCCGGGGCAGAGCGCCCTGAGGCTGGGCAGCGGTGGCGTCGTCCGTAAGAAGGAACCTCTGCAGAATGTGGCAGCCTTCCAGGGCAAAGGGCATTCTCTGGGCAGCGGCGTAGGCTCCTCCCCTTCACCTGAGCACCGGCCAATCACACGGCAGCACAGTGGCGGCGTGGACCTGAGTTCCAGCGTGTCGGACGTCTCCGCTGACGCCGGTGGAGAGCTGGTGCGCGTGGCGCCAGGTTTTGTAACGATGAAGGACGGCCGCGGTCTGGACCCGAGTCTGATGGAACAACAGCGTAGGAAACTGCAGGAGATGGTTTCTTCAATCCAGGCCTCCATGGAATGTCATCTGCGTGAGCAGCAGAGCGCCACCGCCTCCGTCGCTGCTGGTGATGGAGCCGTTAAGGAGCGGGCCCAGGAGGATCGGTCAGCTGACGGATTACCTTGTGGGGATCTGGAGGAGTCGGACGACATGGAAAGTCAGGAAGCTGGACAGGGTGGCGCCACCGAGCCCATGGATCACTCCTGATCGCAACCTCCCCCCCACCCCCAAGCTATAACCCTACTATCATGGCTAACATCTTTGTGTCATTTCGCAGCAGGTGGGACGCCAAAGTCGGTCTACGTCGCGTTTCCTTGTCTTTACTGCATGACTTAAGTGTAGGACGCCGTCCTCGTCTGTCCTCGCAGATCTTCAGGGGCAGGACAGGAGGTGATGAGATGACGCGTGAGACACACTTTATTTGATGTATTGTCATTGGCCGTGGTTTGTGCCTCAGCTGGCGGCGTCACGTAGACAAATTATTAACTCCGTTTTTTTACAACACCTTCTTCTTTTGAGTTTGTAGCAACGGAATAAACGAATGTCCGTAAACCCTGAGGTAGGACAGCACACGAAGTTTCATCAACAATCATCGGAGTAGAGTTTTCTTTATATTTTGTTGTAAATCGAGTCTTAATCAAAGGCCGAGCTGCAAAGAGCGCCCCCACAGGGCAGCCTACATTATAGCTTAATGTTAGCTTCATCTTTTCTTTTCTCATGTTTGGAAGCACAGGCGCAATTGCACCACCCACTGATGACAGATGCCCCTGTTGGTGAAGAGAGGTACTGGCTTGAAACGTTTGACATTTTTACACTGCTGATTCAGACTCAAAGTAGAGACTAGTGCCACCTGTCTGTGAGGTTTGCAGTATTTTTTTTTAATCAGATCTTTAGTTTTTTTTAATGAGGGAATTCCAAGTTACTCTAGAATGAGACGACAGAACTAGAACGATGGAATAATTCCACCTCAACATTGTTATTATTTACAAGAATCCAAATTTTCACTAAGTGGCATTTAGCAGGTGCAAGTGATTGTTCTAGGGGAGCTATAATTACCCTCCCAGGTAAAACAAATGACAAAAATATTTGCCATTGTTCAGTGTTAGCAGCTGTGCTTCAGAACTGTGTTTCATTTATTTATTTAATCTCTGATTTTCTCCATGGACTTTGGTCTGAACTAAAATCTCTGATTTTCTCCATGGACTTTGGTCTGGACTAAAATCTCTGATTTTCAGGTTTTTCTTTCTGCACCAGAGCTAATGTTCAGTCTATAAACTGAATTCAGCCTCTGCATCAGGGTGGTTCCAACAGCAGGGGGTGCTCTTAGTGCAGTCAACTCTGCCTGAGTCACCTGAACAATGTTTTGTTCTAATCCACTGGAGAGGTGACGTCACCCAGAAATTAAACAGCAAACATTTCACTTTGTAGAGAAACCACTTCCTGTTCTTCACTTCCTGTCAGCGCTGACTTTAGTTCCTGGTGTTTGGACTTTGCTCTGGTTTGCTAATCCAATAAAACATTTAACTTTGAGCTCAGACATGGCTGTGCATGTGATCACTTTTCAAACCACAATAAAAACCAAAACAAAGCAGTTCCTTCTCCAGTTCTGATTCCTTTGTCTTTTGTCTTTATCGTCCATGGTTTCAGTTCCTGGCCTACAGTTGAAGTATTCGACCAGGTTCTCTGGTCTGGTCCACACCCGTCTGCTGGACTCAGACCAGAGACTCTGGAGTCAGAGCTGAAGTATGAGAACAAACTTATCTGAGACTTGGCCTGAAGAACCAGCTCCTCTGTCCAGGTCCAGGTCCAGGTCCAGTGCTGTTTAAACTTCTCTTCATTTGACCTTTTAACCTTTCAGTTGGACCAGAGTGGCCCTGGTCCGGTTCCTCCTCTGGACTCTGTTGTTATCGTTTCCTGTTCAGGGCAGAAAAAAAAACACTCCTCTGTAGTTTAGGCATTTAGCTTGAGCATTTAGCTTGAGCATTTAGCTTGAGCATTTAGCGTAGCTTGACTGAGCGTTAGCTTGAGTTCACGTTGTACGCTCCACTCACCACCTCCAGGAACACAACGAGTTTTCACTGAGTTTTCCGTGAGCTCACTGTGAGTAACTGGACCAAACCTACGAGGGATTGTTCACAGAACTGTTTATTCATCGTTAGCTTTGACTTTTCAAACTGAAAATCACATCCACTCACAGAATTTAAGCTTTGAAAGAGTTCCTGGGTCAGAACTGAAGAATCTTTACTACTTTCATACTTCTACCCATGCCCAGAGGGAGCTGAAGGGGGCGCTGTGAATCCAAAGTTGGAGGACAGCTGAAATAAACAACGTGAGGTGAAAGTAGAAGGAAAATAAACGGAGACAAACGGTTTATGATTCAACTGTCAGTTACAGTCAGAGTCAGTTACAGTAACAAAGTCAGTACTGTCAGAGTCAGTTACTGTCAGAGTCAGTACTGTCAGAGTCAGTACTGTCAGAGTCAGTACTGTCAGAGTCAGTACTGTCAGAGTCAGTACTGTCAGAGTCAGTACTGTCAGAGTCAGTCAGTACTGTCAGAGTCAGTTACAGTAACAAAGTCAGTACTGTCAGAGTCAGTACTGTCAGAGTCAGTTACAGTCAGAGTCAGTACTGTCAGAGTCAGTTACAGTCAGAGTCAGTACTGTCAGAGTCAGTTACAGTCAGAGTCAGTACTGTCAGAGTCAGTTACAGTCAGAGTCAGTACTGTCAGAGTCAGTTACAGTCAGAGTCAGTACTGTCAGAGTCAGTTACAGTCAGAGTCAGTACTGTCAGAGTCAGTTACAGTCAGAGTCAGTACTGTCAGAGTCAAACTCAGAGTCGGCGCCACCATCAGGTCACTCTTTCTTCACAATAATAATAATCATTTATTGAAGGAGAAGAAGTTTTAGGTTTTGGTTTTTTTATCTGCGTTTTTTAAACCTAGATGAGAAACTGAGTTCCATGGAACTATTACTGTGTTCTACGGAAACATTTACAGTTATCACTTCACTTACAATCATTGATTCAATTACGATTTGAAGTCATTTCACATTCCAAACATCACAACTGTCACGTCATTGAGTTCATTCACATTTATAATTTAAAAGAATCTTAACACATTTAAATGGATAATTATTAGGGACGTCCAGTATTAACTTTTGGCTGTGGTGAAGTTAAGTGTTGCCTGCTCACTAAGGTGAGGGGTAAAAACAGAGTTATTTCAGTTATGTTCTGCCCCCTAGTGGACAGAATTGAATAACTACTGAGCTCCTGGTAATATTTCTTTATTTCTCTGTCCAAACCAGTGTCAGAGTTGCTGCACCAGCATTCTACAGACAATCACCTGGTTATCACTGTAGATTAATGAAAGAAGCTACAATGCTGCCATCTAGTGGCCAGAGCCTTGTTGAGCGTTGATAATGGTCTGCGTTCATTTCTTATTGTGACGGTCGGTGAATAAATGTTTATGTTCTGGTCTGACCTTCTACTTTTTCTGACGGTTCTTGGCTGCCTTGAACGCACCATGTTGTAGTGCACATGCGCAGTGGGTTCTGTTCCTTGTGTTGGAACGCTTTGTCGTGCGCTGTGTCTGACAACAGCGCCGACTACGGGTGAGGAGGTGGAGAAGGAGGAGTTTCTGGAGAATCTGGACTGAGAGTTTAGAACCAGTGACTGCAGCTAAAAGTCCTTCAGAGACCGAGGCGTCTGATTGGTCTGTCCCCGGGGCTTTGAACTATTTTCAGGGCAGTCATCGTTTGGCCAAAGCCAGGCGTTGCCTTATCGGGTTTTCATTATCGGAGAAAAAAAACCCCGATAAAGATTCTAACAGATAAGCTAACATCAGTCGGCCGATGTTATCGGACATCCCTAATAACCATCTCAGCTGCAGCGACTATACTTTGAGTTATAATCACGGTCTAGTGGTCTACAGACAGGTGGCGCAGTCTCAGGCGTCTTCAGGAATAAATGACGGCGAGTCTTCTTCCACGAACGTCCAGTCGTCCCTGGTCATGTGATCTCCGTGAGTTTCTAGATGTTTCTGGAACGAGGCTAGCTGGTTGAAGCGCCGGCCACAACTGCGGCAGGTGAACGGCTTCTCTCCGGTGTGAATCCTCGTGTGAATCTTCAGCTGATTGGTGTTCCTGAAGAACTTCCCACAGGTCCGGCAGCGGTGGGGTTTCTCTCCCAGGTGGATTTTCTGGTGAGCGTTCACACCCGACTTGTCCACGAAGCCTTTGCCGCAGAAGCCGCACTGGTACGGCCGCTCCCCGCTGTGGACCCTCAGGTGGACGCTCAGGGACGTGCTCTGTCTGAAGCTCCTCCCACAGACCTGACAGGCGTACGGCCTCTCGTCCGTGTGGACTCTGGTGTGACGGATCAGGCGCTCCAGCAGGGCAAAGGTCATTCCGCAGAAGCGGCACTCGTGCGGCTTCTCGTCCGTGTGGATGATCCGGTGGGCTCGCAGCGAGGACGCCTGGCCAAACGTCCTTCCACAGGTCTTACACAGGAAGGGCTTCTCTCCTGTGTGGATTCTCATGTGCTGGTTCAACGCCGACTTCTGGTTGAAGCAGTTCCCACATGTTTCACAGGTGTACGGCTTCTCCCCCGTGTGGGTCCTGACGTGCTGGAGGTGAAGGTATCGGCGCTGGGATGTCTTTCCACATGTCTCACATTTAAAGGTTTTTTTAGTTTTGGGAGCAGGAGGCCGGCTCTTTGTTCCCTGGTCAACGGCGACATCACTTCCTGTCTGGCCACAGCTCCCAAATCCAGGAGAGTTTTCAGAAAGTGAGGCTTCAGTCAGGTCAACGTTCTGAGCCTTGTCCTGCTTCAGGAGCAGCTGCTCCTCTCTTTCCACCTCCTCCTCCTTAATCCATAGAGCCTCAGTATTTTCTCTGTCCAACCTGGACTTCTGCTGCTGTGATCGCTCTGGATGAAGACAAGGATGTCAGTAAATGGACACTAATGTCAACAGGGAAATCAACGTAGAGTCAAAGTTCTCAGTAAATTGTAAACAAAAAAAACAATTAAGCTGAAGTGGATCAATGGCTCCTGTGTCTAAATTAAGTTGAAGTGGATCAATGGCTCCTGTGTCCCTCAGTAAATTGTAAACAAAAAAAACAACTAAATTAAGTTGAAGTGGATCAATGGCTCCTGTGTCTAGGGAACAAAGACACGGACTTTGGTCTGCACTAAAATCTCTGATTTTCTCTATGGACTTTGGTCTGAACTAAAATCTCTGATTTTCTCTATGGACTTTGGTCTGAACTAAAATCTCTGATTTTAAATAAATAACTGTTAACTTTGAACCTCAATTTTCTCTATGGACTTGTAACACACATACAGTACACACACACACACACACACTAGTTTCAGTCCAGTGTCTGTTTTTTTTCTTACCTGTCCTCCTCTGATGGCTACTTCTGACTACATCCAGCAGAGGGTGCTGATGTTCCCACGTGGAGGTGCAGAGAAATCTCTCTATGACGCTGAATATGTCGTCAACAGCAGCTGTCAGCTCTTCATCCACAAAGCGGTTCTGACTGTGGCGGTGAGTCCTGGTTGTGGTTGGAGAGAGGTCAGAGGTCAGCTGTCCTCTGTCCCCGTCAGAAGGAGTTCCCTCCTCCTCCTCCTCCTGCTGCTGCTGCTTCAGAACCAGCTGCTCCACATCCTGAGTGCTACAAAAGTCCAGCTGCTCCTCCTTCGTGTGTGGAGTCAGACTGCAGCTCCTCTCCTCCTCCTCCTCCTTGCAGACAGGGAGCAGAGGAGGCTCTGGACGGACAGAGACACAGTGAATGTGGGGAGGTTCTTGAATCAAACCATTGTTGCTGCGCTGGGATCAGTTCTGACACCTGGGTTTTACTAACCTGTCGTGGGCCTCAGCCCACCTGGGTCCCGACCGTCTCTGTCCGCCTGCTGCCCAGTGAAGACCGACTCCAGCAGAGACCACAGGTCGTCAGCGGCAGCACAGATTCTCTGCTTCACAAACTCTTCTCCAACGTTACAGTGGCTCCCTGCGAGGCGCCCCCCCCCCCCCCCGGGGGCGAGGGGGAGGCGCGCCC